CAAAAAACTTCCTTCATGTTTTGCTAAAGAATTTGGAGACGAGATTGCAACATATGTGACTCTTCGGGATCCAAAAGATAATAAGTTTGAGGTACAACTCATAAATAAAAACTGAAAGTTATATTTTAATGATGGTTGGATCCGATTGAAACTCTCGCATAACTCATCCATTACTCTGTTGTTCAAATTCAGCTCGTTATCAGTGATAATCTTATTACGAGCTCTGTAGCGACATATTATCTCCTTCTTGATGAATCGTGCGATCATTTGTCTTGTCACCTGACGTAGGAAGTGAATTCTACCTACTTGGTGAAGTAATGGATTTCAACTAGAATGAAACGGTGTCTGTTTGCAGCTTTCGACTCGATCATCCCGATTATGTTTATACCCCACTTGGAAAAAGGCCACGGAGCAAGTAAGACGTTTAATGGAGTAGGTGGCACATGAACTTTATCCGTGTAGATCTAACATTTATGGCACTTCTTGACGTATTTGAAACAATCAAACTCCATAGTTAACCAGTAATACCCTGCTCTGAGAATCTTCTTGGCTACTGTATATCCACTGGCGCGAGTGCCAAAGGATCCTTCATGAATTTCTTTGATAAGAATGTATGCTTCATGTCCATCCAGGTATATGAGCAAGACCATGTCGTGATTTCTTTTGTAAAGTACATCTCCATTAAGGAAGAATTGGGAGGCCAGTCTTCTGAATGTTTTCCTGTCTCCACTTGAGGCATTTGTAGGTTACTCTTGTTTCTGGAGGAATTATTTAATGTCATGGAACCAAGGTTTATTATATTCTGCCACCTCCACTGCTACACAATAAGCCAAGTAATCCCAACATTGAATTATTATAGAAGGTGCTTCGTTGTGCCACTTAACTTTGAACATGGATGCTAAAGTAGCCAAGGTGCTAGTTGATTCTACGCTCAAGGAATATAGTGGAAAGTGATCTTATTGAAGTAGGTGATCAATTTCTGGACATGGCCTCGGTGTCGAATTAATTTGAAATTATGGGTCCCCCATTCTTCTTTGATTTGATTGATGACGAGAGCAGAGTCTCCATATGCCTCTAAGATCTTGATTCTCATGTCAATAGATTTGTCGATTCCTAAAATGCATGCCTAATAATCTGCCATGTTATTAGTGCATGTGAAACATAATCTAGATATGAAGGGGATATGGAAACCTATTGAAGAGGTTATGAAAGCCACGGTTCCATTCCCTTCTACATTTGATGCACCATCAAATATAAGTTTCCATCTTGATCCTGGTTCAGGTCCTTCGTCGGGACTTGTGGCCTCACAATCCTTTATAAGCATTACATCTTCGTCAGGGAATCAAATTGCATAGGTTGATAATCTTTCGTTGGCTAATGAGCGAGATGATCTGCTAGTATACTTCCCTTGATAGCTTTTTGAGTGGCATACTGGATGTCGTATTCAATTAATAACATCTGCCATTGAGCTATTGTTCCTGTTATTGTTGGCTTATACAAGATGTGTTTGATAAGATCCATTCTAGATATCAGCAAATTTGTGTGGCACATCATGTATTGTCTTAGGCATCTAGCGAATCAATTTTGAGGTATACTGAGCTCCACCATATGTTCTAATAATTTTGAGTTTTATTACATTGTTTCTCTGCCATAACTCTAAATTTCTTGACCATTCCAAATGCTTCATTTTTAAAATTGTTCAAGAATAACCAAATCTTTCTATTGAATTCATCCACAAATGTGATAAAATACTTATTTTCTCTTAGAAAAGGAAGCCCAAATGGACCACACACATATGAGTGCATTACATCTAGCACATCAACTAATCTATGTGCTACATGTGATTTGATTAAATTCCTAGATTGTTTTCCAATTAGGCAAATTTTACAAGCTTCCTCAGGTAAGGTCAACTTAGGAATACCTAAAACCAGTTCTTTATCAACTAGCTGAATAAGACTTCTGTGAAATTTAAATGATCAAACCTGAGATGTCACAACTATCTAGCTTGGATTGACATTAATATAGAGACACATTTCATATCAACTACTCTTATAGATGTTTGAAAGGTTATGTTATTTGCCAATGGTAATGTCAACGCAAATTTTTTATTCTTGTCAAACAATTCTAGTGCATTATTCTTCATAATCATTAAGTTTCTTTTTGCACAAGTTGGCCAACACTTAATAGGTTGCATATCATACCAAGAACATATAACACTTTTGCAAACAATGTTCTATAATTTGATAAACTCACCTTTGTTGACATGTTTGTACTTATTTCTTCTAGTCATTCTTTTTGTCATGCCATATGATTGGAGCAACTAATATTTAAGAACCATCCTTCTGAATTGTAGTTCTCAGTACTGGTTGTTATTAACATCAATACAGAAGGATTAGAATCTGAGTCTTCTTGTGCCAAGTTTGTTTACTCTTCATTCTCTGGTTGTTTTCCTTTTTCAAACCAATAATCAAATGCTTAGTGGTCATATTTTTCATAGTTGAAACATTGGATTTTCTTCTTCAATCTTGAGAAATTATCTACTACAACTTCATTATCCTTCATATGCAACATTGCATACTATCTTCTTAAAAATTGAAGGCGAACTTTCTTGACTTTTACATCAACACCATAGTATTTCCTAGGTATATCTCAAGCCTCTTTGAAAGTTGTTGCCTTTGAGATCTTGTCGAACACTTTTGCATCAAGGTGAATGTAGAACAATGTCTTTCTATCCTTCTTCTTCGGTTCCATAAATGTTGCTTGCTGAAATTCTGGTGGATTTTGAACCAATGGTTGAAGACCTTCAATTACAAACTCACTCATATCTTGAACATTGAAGACGACTCTCATTTGTTTACATCGCTTATCCCAATTTTTATCATAAAAAATTGATAGATTTGTTAGAAAATTGTTGATTCCCACCTAGCTAGAACTACTATTTCCTTTAAATTGAACTGGGCTCACTAATACCAGTTTTTTTCCAGATTTTTTGTATTAATTAAAGACAAGAGCAAAATGAGTGAATGCATAGTATTATTATTCAATCATATAGAATATTTGTACAACTCTGTGACTAAACCAAGGTAGTTTAGCTAGCAAAACAATAAAACTAACTAAAACACTCTAACTACTTACGACAACAACAACAATCAAATATTATCTCACTAAGTATGATCGGTTACATGGATCAATTTCTCCCATAAAGTTCTATTCAAAATCATACTTTTATCTAAATTGTTAAGCTCGAAGTCTTTCTTAATAACTTCCCTTATAGTTTTCATAGATCATCCTCTACGTCTAACTATTTGACCCCTCTCCATCTGATTTACTCTCCTTACCACATAATCTAAAGGTCTTCTGTCTACATGTCCAATCTACTGAAGTCTATTCTCCACCATTTTTCTATTATATGTGCTAACCCAACACACTCTTTAATATTGTCATTTCTAATCTTATCATGTTTAGTCTTACCAAATATCCTACGTAACATCTTCATCTCTAATACACTTACTTTATTCTCGTGTTGATCTTTAAGTGCTCAACATTCTATCACATACAACATTGCAGGTCCAATAAAACTTTCCCTTCAACTTGAGCGGTACCTTTCTATCACATAAAATCCCTGAAGCCCTCCTCCATTTCAACCACCCAGCTTGAATTTGATGGTTTACATCCTCGTCTATTTCTCCATCGTTTTGTATTACAAACCCAAGATATTTAAACCGCTTGACTTGTGGGATGACATGGTCCCCAACTTTCATTTATAAATTAGAAACAATTCTCCTTTTGCTGAACTTACATTCCATATATTATGTTTTACTTCTGATAAGGCGAAAACCATGCATTTCTAAAATTCGCCTCCAAGTCTCCAACTCCCGTTTAAATCCTCCTTTGACTCTCCCAGTAGGACTATATCATCTGCAAAAAACATGTATCTCGGTGCTAGCTCTTAGATGTGCTCTGAGAGTACATCCAAAATTAAAGTAAAAATATATGGATTTAGGATTGACTCCCCCATTAGCACTATATCATCTGCAAAAAAACATGTATCTCGGTGCTAGCTCTTAGATGTGCTCCGTGAGTACATTCAAAATAAAAGTAAAAATGTATGAACTTAAGATTAAACCTTGATTCAAACCTATTATAATGGAGAAATCGTATATCTCTCATCTTGTGTCAGCACACTAGTCAATATCTCTTTATATATATCTTAAATAGCTCAAATATATACAATCCTAATCTTTTTCTTCTCTAAAATTTTCCACAAAATCTCTCTAAACACTAACTAATTATAAACTAACTAAAAGAAAATAAATAACTTGAATAAAGCTCAACAACTTTTGTTTAAAGCACTTATATCACATATTTTCTTCTGGACCTCATATATATTTTAGAGGATTATACATTAACACATTAAGTGCGTGATGGGATTACCTCGTGAGTTAAAGGTGTTTATAGACATTTAAAGTTTATTTGAGATGCGAGTATATTTATAGTGAAATTATTTGCCTTTAAAATAAATTTCAATTCAATGATTTTAAACATAATTTTTAATTTGAAACAAGTAAATACATCTAAACGTAAATTACTCAGAAACTTTAGTTTTTTGGATGCTGCATTTGGATTATACTAAAAGAAAATAATTTCAACAGCAATTTTTTTATTTCTGTTTACTTTGTAAAAAAACATATTTATTTATATTTTTTAAAATATGCATTTTGTTTTTACTAACAAGAGGGTCTAAGCCCATGAAAAAAGAACTATACTGAAATTAAACAAGTAGAGATCCCCATTTCACAAGCAAAAAAATTAAACACTACATTTTAATAGCAATTTATGGCGCACAAATTAAATTAGTTCCTCCATCTTGTAAATGTTGAGGAAAAGTCAAGAACGTTTTAACTAAGTCATTTGCACAATCTAACCATTATTCATATTAATCTCAACAAGACATATTCATAGTTCACTAGACATTTGTGTTATTAGTTCCAATGCTATTCTCAATTTTCCAATTGCGCGATGATGCTCGCGAACACCTGGTATCCTTGTGACATGTCTGAAAAAAGACAATACTCATTCTGAGCATGGTAAGTTGCCATCAGACCTGAACATAACATGAAATGCAATGAGTTAATACTTTTTATTACTTCCAAATCTAATATATACATAAATTTGTTCTTAGGCAGAACCATACCATAGCCAACACACTGAACATCAAAACCTTCATCCTGTGACAGAGAAAAGAAGTTAAGAAATGAGTAATACAACAGCTTTCATGGATGAGAATAGGAATATATCTTCACCTGAAGTTCTCGAATGAGAGGCAAACTCCCAGTAATTGAAAAAGGCTTTACATTTCCAACTATTTCCTCAGTTGCTTTGCGTAAAACATGGAAACCTCTCGAATTGAGATCACAAGCAACTCCAGAGTTAGCCTCATCAAAAGTTAGAGTAAGGCTGTAAAAGAGGAGCAAGGGAACTATAAGTAGTTGCAGAAAATCGATAAAGAAAAAAAACTAAATCAAGAGATGGAAACAAATTATCAAGTCGTTAAGTATTCAAAAGCAAAACAAACTGTTTATTAACATTAAATGATCTAGAGAAGTCAAAACTGAATTTATTCGAAAGTTGTCGAAACTCGTAAGCAGAGCAGACTTCTTTGTTAAGTAAGGATAAAAAAGCCTCACCTCCCCCTTAAGTTGTCATCTGGTAGGACATATTTTGAAACTGGACCCCGAGATTCTAGCTTCTGTATATTCTCATTAATGTCATCCACATATTCTTTCAGCTTCTTCATTACATCCTTCACACTGAAAAAATCATTAGAGCATTGGGCATGAAAATTCATATAACAACAGAACTCTTTCACATGTTTGCTTTTATCTGTACATTTAGCAATTGCAAGAAAGTAATGAAATAGAAAAACAAAAAGTTAGCCGGAAGCTTCCAAAAGATTGATATATGGCCACAATATATATAAGATGTAACTTACTTGTAGAATGGAGTTAATCTGCAACAAACAAACACAAAAAAATATCTCAGTAAAGCCACATCATTGATAACAAATAGCCTTGAGTAATTCTAAGGACGAGAATAAACCTGACATCTCCTGAAATGTTACATTCCCCTGGAATTTGGTTGATTCCACCTCCAGGATCTGCAGTAGGGAATGCAATGAGAACAGTTGAAGGGTTTTGTTTTCATTAAAAAGATTAATTATGAAAATAGTTACTTAGACAATTAGACCCCAAAACTTACAACTCCATTGAGTTGGTTTCATGGTCGAAGGGGTTGCAAACCCGTAAACCTGTTCCTGAGGATGAGGTGGGAAGTCCTTGTAAAATTTCAGCTGGATTTCCTTTACCGCATCCATGGCTAGCTCCAGCGGATTTATAGCCTACAGGTAACCAAATATATATGATTTTACAGCTACGATGCTTAGCAGTCAAAACAACCTCTTGATTGGAGATTAGGCATCATATTAGTTTTCCTTAACTCCACAAACTCATGGATAATCAAGTGAAACTGAAACTCATCAATAACAATAAACATAAATGTCAAGCTAAATACTAACATGTGTGGTGGATTTGTTATCAAATTAATTACACCATATCACAATATCTCATGTAACTTACAAGGTGTTCAAAATTTTACTAAACTCTACAAAAAAGGCAATAGTTATTATATTTGATGTTTGCTTCCCTTCTGAACCAATGCACTGCACTCTTCTCACAGGTTATGATGTTATAGTAGGTAGTGTATAGCAATGAAACTCTCTTTAAATGGTTAAATTTATCTGAGCGTGTCCGTGTGTCCATATGCATTTTACAGGCTCTCAGAGGATCGGGACTAAAGTCTATGTGTTTATTATTAAGGTAGCATTTAGTAAATGGTTCAAAACAAGACAGAACATATCATATTATCCTCCTATAAGTATATTCGATTTGATACGTATTAAAAGCAGATCAGAACATTACATAATGTAAAAAACAAAAAATAGAGATTCCGCTATAAAAGGTAGAGCAAAAAGAGATATATTAACTGTCCACGTGTCTGTCAAACACTGTCACAGTTTGCAATCACAGCATAGTGAAGAATCATAATAAAATTACAGAAAAAACTGTAAGAGCATACCTTGTGAGCCAATCCACTATGAAAAAGCTTCCCAGTGACATGAAGTTTCCAAGGTATCATCCCACCAGTCCCAATACATGGTTGCTTATCAGCTACATCGATCCAAAACCTGAGCAAAAACTGAACAAATTAAATCCTACAAATATATTATAATTGGAATCGAATAGCTACTGTAACATCGAACAAAAACAAAGTTCTGCATAATAAAGCACCGGCACTTGACACAACACAGACAAATAGATACAGATAATAATATAAGAAAATAGAAGTGATTGAACACCCGATCACCCGAGCATCCAAACACGCCTTTGATTCGAAGTCTTGATGCTTCTAAGATTCTACATACACACATGCATAGAGAGATTTTCAATTGAATAATGACTTACAAAGGACCTTCCTTTAGCTTATTCAGAAGACCATGTTGAACAAGTGCATCAATACCAACTCCAGTAATCGCAGAACTTTCTTCATTCGCTATAAAAACCGCAACAACAGTTGATTTCAAATTTGGCTTAGTTTCACCAAGCTTCCTCATGAGTTCGGCCACAAGTGCCACGTGTCCCAAACAATCAGTAGTTCCACGACCCCTAAGTTTATCACCATCGATGCTCAAAGTAAACGGATCAAAATCCTTCACATCAACACAAAATTCAACACATTTAACATAAAATTATAAATAAATAAAATTCATGTAATATAAAACGAAATTAATAGTAAATCAACGATAATGCATTGATAGAGAAATACCCAATTGTTAGGGTTTGCAGTGACAACATCCATGTGGCAGCCAACAAAGGAGAGGATCTTGCCGGGAACGGTTCCGGGGTACTCAACAATGAGGTTACCTCTGCCGGGGAAATAGGTGACATGGTTGAGGATCAAGGGACCGCCGCCGGTGGTGGTGCTGAAGGGTAAGAGGGAATTTAGCAAGTGCTTGACAACTCTGTCCTCTTCGGGAATGAGTTCGGGTGGATTGTTCTGGACGTGTCTGGATTCAGCGATGAGATTGGAGAGAAGGGATACGAATGAATCTCTCTCTAAGTTCCCTAATGATTCAACCAATTTCGTGGATGTAGCCATTGAATTTGGAAACTCTTGTGATACTCTTTCGCTTCTGCGTTCTGTTACCTCCTCGTACTTGGAAGTTATCTTTTCGGATCAAGGACAGGACATGCGTTGTTTTTAATTTTTTATTTTGTCCGGCCAACCGCATCCGACAGCTTCCAATTTTCTATAAGATCCAAAATACTACAATTGTCAATTTTTTTTATAATTAAATGTAACACGTGAAAAATTGAATAGTATAGAAAAAAAAATCGGTATGAAGGTAACAATTCTAAATGTCCCATATGATTTTTTTTTATCGGTATTTATACTTAAAAAAAACAGATGTATGAAAAAAATATCATTTTTTTAAAAGCTCATGCATTTACCAAATATTTATCAGAGTTATAAAATATGCGATAATTTAAATTGGTACGGTTGAGATTTAGTCAAGTATAACAAAGTCAATTAGAAAGAGTAAATCATCAAGCTTAACAAGAATATTTTTCAAAATTTCATACCGATAAGTGACAGATCAGTCGGCCAGAGTTAAAGTCATTTTGATAGGTTTAGGTTCTCCACAATTTAATTTTCTCGTCATAGACAATGACATTAAATTTATGCTTGCTCCTAAATTACATGGTTTTTTACCCATTTTTAGAGGGCCTATAGAGATAGGGATAGTGAATCTAGCAGGATTTTAGAGGGCCTATAGAGATAGAGATAGTGAATCTAACAGGATTTTAGAGGGCCTATAGAGATAGGGATAGTGAATCTAGCAGGATCTGTCAGTTTAGGTGGCAATTTGCGTTGAATGATGACATTACACTCTTCTGCCAAAGCTACATTTTCATCTTCCCTTAACTTATATTTTCTATTAAGAAACTCTTTCATGAATTTAGCATAAACCGACATTTGCTCCAAAACTTCACAAAAAGGTATGTATACTTGTAATACAGTGAGCATCTCCATAAATTTTTTAAATTCTCCCACTTTCATTTCTCTTTTTGGTTTCTTTTTACTTAACGATTAGGGGGTTGAATGTAATCGGATAATTGAGGATTTAGTTCATTTATAACAATTAAGTGTAAATTTTGACTTAAAATGAACTATCTTTCTTGGTACTTTTCAATTCAATTCTCATGTTTTCATATATTTAATTTTTGTTCTTGTGTGATTCTTCAATTACATTACAAATATCTTTGGTTACTTTGATTTGTGTGTTATTGTGCATAAATTAGGCATAAAACATCAATGAGTAAGACATAAAAGATTGGACAAAAAAGTTATAAAAAATGTGAAGATTCTGCAATATTCGTTGAACGAATATTCGTTGTGCGAAATATGAGCGAGGTCCCAGCGATTGAGACTTGCAATGACTCTCATTTCTGAGCAACACCTGAATATCAAGCACTTGCTGAGCAACTGAGATTTGCAATAATTCTCATTTCCTCTCAAAGATCTTAATCAATCATGCATCAAACAAATTGTTCTCTAGCCAGAGTATTATGCATATAGTTGTAAATCCTTTCTGTGAGCGCTCGAAGCATCCTAACATAGATTGCCATATTGATAGGCTCAAGGTTCAAGAAGGTCTGTTTTCTGTGAGCGCCCGAAGCATCCTAACATAGATTGCCATATTGGTAGGCTCAAGGTTCAAGAAGGTCTCATAAGATTGTTGTCAGATTCCTTAGATCCTTCTACTTCTCAAGTGGGCATATATTTTCACTAAAGCTTCTAATCCTTGTCCTTTCCATGCTCTTGAGGTCAAGCTGGATTTGTAGATATCATCCACCCTTCAACTTGTGGGGGTAACAATCGAATTAATTGATTTTATATAACTTGCTCAGTAAGTCATCCTTTTCCATTAGTTAGTTGGAGTTTGTTAGAGGGCTAATTGTTTTTGTTTTGGTTAACTAACTAACTCCCATCTCTGCTCATATGTAAGTTTGTACTGTGCCAATTCTAGCCAATGAGAAATTTCAGATTTACACTCATTCATTCTTTTGTCTAGTTTGTCAACGAGCTATAGATATTCCATTAGATCCTTTAATGGCATATCAATTGCTTTGCAATTGGTTACTGATCTGTGTTGTCTGCTTCGAATATGACTAATTGAACTTGGTTTAGTTTTTTGGTACAAAGGAGGAAAACTTTAACTCAACGAGAGAAGTCAGGAAAGAAGATCAGAAGCGGCTAACTAGGTTCAGGCAAGCAAAATTTAATTATTTTCAAAATAAAAAGGGAGTGGAGGTAACATCTCCCTACTTTTTAACAGATATTCATTGCTGATAAGTAAGTACGTCCATCTCGTAAACGTTGAAGAAAATTCAACAACAAACTACTAATTTGCACGATTTAACCACTATTCATATTAATCTCAACAAGACATCTCCATAGCCCACCAAATGCTTCTACTATCATAGTTTCTCAACAATTCTCAATCCTCTAATTGAGTGATGATTCTCCCCAATACCTGGTATCCTTGAGACATATCTGTAAAAAGACAATACTCATTCTTGGCATGGTAAGTTTCCGCCAAACCTGTACATAACATGAAATGCAATGATTAAGTACTTTTACAAACTTCCAAATTTCATATACACACATAAATTTGTTCTTTATACCATAGCCGCAAGACTGAACATCAAAACCTTCATCCTGTGACGACAGAGAAAAGAGAAGTTAAGAAAGGAATGTGTAATACAAAAGCTTTCATGCACAAAAATGAGAACATATCTTCACCTGAAGTTCCCGAATGAGAGGCAAACTCCCGGTAACTGAGAAAGGCTTTACATGTCCAACCACTTCCTCTGTTGCTTTGCATAAAACATGGAAGCCTCTCGAATTAAGATCACATGCAACTCCGGGTAAAACCTCATCAAAAGTTATAGTAAGTCTGTAAAACAGGAGCAAGAGAACAATAGTCAGTTAGTTACACAAAATTGATAATGATAAAAAGAAAAAAATCCCAATCAAGAGATAAAAACCTACCTCCCCCTTAAGTTTTCGTCTGGTAGGACATATTTTGAAACTGGACCTCGAGATTCTAGCTTTTGTATATTGTCATTAATATCGTCCACGTATTCTTGAAGCTTCTTCATCGCATCTTTCACACTGAATAAGTTATTTGAGCATTGTGTATGATAGTTGATAAATCACATATAAATTAAACAATATAAGATGTAACTTACTCGTAGAATGGAGTTAACCTGAAACAAACAAAAACACAAGAAAATATATTTGTAATGTGACATCATTCATAACAAATTGGATTGATTAATTGTATTAAGGAAGAGAATAATAAACCTGAAATCTCCTGAAATAGTACATTCCCCTGGAATTTGATTAATTCCACCTCCAGGATCTAGGAATACAATTATGAAATTGAACGGTTTTAATTTTCATGTATTAAAATAGTTGTTTAGACTATTAGAATTTGAAAACTTACAACTCCATTGGGTTGGTTTCATGGTGGAAGGGATTGGAAACCCATAAACTTGTTCCTGAGGATGTGGTGGGAAGTCCCTGTAAAATTGAAGCTGAATTTCCTTTATCGCATCCATGGCTAGCTCTAGTGGATTTATAGCCTACAAGCAACCAAATATATAACACAGTTCATATTTATATACTAGATTATAACATTACTATATTCTATACTTTACATCATAATGAAGACACAATAATATCAAAATTCATAATAAAATTCTGGACAATAATGTAAGCGAAGACCTTATCAGTTAATCCGCTGTGAAAAGGTTTCCCGGTGACATGAAGTTTCCAAACTACCATACCAGCAGTTCCAATACACGGTTGTTTATCAGATGAATCGATCCAAAACCTGAACAAAAATATTGGACAACTTAAAACATAATGCAATTGTAGACACAATATTGCTGATTTGGAAGCATTAGAAAGATTTTTAAGTATAAATAACGACTTACATGGGACCTTGTTTTAGCTTATTGAGAAGACCATGTTGAACAAGTGCATCAATACCAACTCCAGTTACAACACCACTCTCTTCGTTCGCTATAAAAACCGCCACAACAGTTGATTTCAAATTCGGCTTTGTTTCACCAAGCTTCCTCATGAGCTCAGTAACAAGTGCCACATGTCCTAAACAATCCGTAGTTCCACGACCCCTAAGCTTATCACCATCGATGCTCAAAGTAAATGGATCAAAATCCTTCACATTAACACCAAATTCAACAAACTTAACAATATAAATGCATGTGTCATAATAATAGTAATAACTAATAATAATAATGGATTCATGCATGGATAGATAAACATACCCAATCTTTGGGATTTGCTGTAACAACATCCATGTGGCAGCCAACAAAGGAGAGAATCTTGCCGGGAACTGTTCCGGGGTACTCGACGATGAGGTTACCTCTGCCGGGAAAATAGGTGACATGGTTGAGGATTAAGGGACCGCCGCCGGTGGTGGTGCTGAACGGTAGGAGTGAGTTTAAGACATGGTTTACTACTCTATCCTCTCGAGGAATGAGTTCCGGTGGATTGTTTTGCACGTGTATGGATTCACCAATGAGGTTGGAGAGAAGAGATAAGAATGAATCTCTCTCTAAGTTGCCCAGTGTTTCTAACAAGTTCGGTGCTGTAGCCATTGAATTTCGAAACTCTTGTGTTACTCTTTCGCTTCTCCGTTCTGCTAGTTATTCAGACTTGAAATTCGTAAGGTTACTAGTTGGTCCAATTAACAAAGAAAACGGTCCAATTAAAATAAATTACTTTTATACATTACTTTTAAGTTGTCAATTAGTTTAGTTGTTAAGAGTTTAGTAAAATTTTAAGCATATTGATTAGATATCTAGATTATGCATTGCATATGCAAGTCACTTCATTTTTACTAACACTTCATTTTTATTTTTATTTTTAATTTAAAGATATGCATTTTTTATTAAATTTAAGGATATATGTTTTGCTCAATAATAAAAACAAGGGTTAATATTGAATTTGTCCAGTATCATAGGCGAATTGGAAAAAAAAGCTTTGGTAAAAAAAACACGGTTTCCCTCCTTGAAGTTTTAAGATTTTTATGTTTTCATCACTCATTAAACTTGATCAGCATATAGGTATGAGTCTGTTTAATGTTATATTTCATCATTGGGGAGAGTTTGTCCTTGATAAGTTTTTTTTTATAAAGAAGGTATTGAAACAATCATTAATGGGTAAGATTTAGTTAAATGGTCTTACTTTGAAGCACTTAGCTTTGTAAAATAATAGGGTTATAATGGTAATGGAGTTAGAATATGGAGAAAGATTAAATTTATTGATAAAGGTTTCTTTCACATAATTGATGATTCTTATGATGCTGAAGTTGTAAATCACTCTATTTTTAATAATATTGATGAGTATATATGGGTATATATATGAGTGAAACATAATATTGAAGACAATTTGAATATGGTGCTCAAAATATGCAGTGTACTGATATATTTGCGAAGCGTTTCCAAAGGGGCGAAGAGACCATGTCGTCAAAAATGGACGATGGAATCCTATCACTTGCAAGGGGTATGACATTTCCCTTTGACACTCCCGCTCGCCAGTATAGGAAAATTTGGAAAATGACATGTCTTGGTCAGAGATAATGCATAAAAGGAGTCAAGAGAATAACCTACGTCTCCCTAGGAAATATGGATTCAAAGGTCCACTACCCTCACTAGGTGGACGGTTGCAATTCCCAAGAAGTCCTAAAAACTGGTCCATGGACATCTATAAATACCTCAACGTTGGGGGTTGAGAGATATATTCTAAACACACAGAAAATACTCCGAAATACAGAGGTTGTCACTCCACGTGAGCTTATTCTCTCCACATCAAACACACCTTTGAAACAGGGTCTCTCACCATCGTGACCTTTTCCTAAATTACTGAATATCCTCAATGCTTCTGGCCGCCCCTACCAGCATAAGGGTGCCACGCATTTGTACATTTTAGCAAGTACAATGGCGCCCAACGTGGGACCCTAGTAAAACTAACATGAGTCACACCTCCCATTATCACCACCATTTCACTACATTCTTTTGAAATACGACAAAGAAAGATTCAGGCTTCGTGGTTAACACCATTTCTAGAGGTTTCCTCAATAGAGGAAGTTCCAGCTCCTCCTAGAGGAAATATGTTAGGCAGATGCTAACTGCAAACATAATATCCCAATGACTCTCGTAAGATAAGAAAATAGGACCAAAGGTCATCATTACTTTCTCTAACCCTCATGAAAATGACCCTAAGGTCATCATTGTGCAACATGATAATTGGGATATCAATCGAGTCTTGATAGGCCCAGAAGCTCAGTTGACGTCCTATTCTATAGAACCTTCCAAAAGCTCGAACTCGATCCCGACAACATTAAGGCATTATAAGGTTCAGTAGTAGGCTTGTTAGGTGAACAAGTGCAAGTAAGGGGTCCAATAACCATAGAAACGACATGCACCGTGGGAGCATAATTCAAGGAGGATGAGGTTAATCACCTCATAATGGATGTCTTATCTCCCTATAACATCATCCTTAGCATGTCGTCCATCAACTTGTAAAGTGGGATTATATCCCAGAATGGGCCTGGAGAATGAGAGGTTCACGTTACATAGGATCTGAAAGAGGTTCAAATAGGGCCTTTAGCTCAGCAAATGACAAAAATTTTAAGGTGAAGAGCGCAAACTAGTTTACCAACTCATTAGAAACGTCGACTTGTTCACTTGGGCCCCTACAACATATTGGACATAGATACCAGAGTGGTGTGTCATCTTCTTACCGTCAACCCCTTTACGAGACCACTATCACAAAGAAAGTGTAAAGTTGGAGAGTAGAAGAAATTCGCCATTGACAAGGAGGTAAATAAGATAGCAAGAGTCGGTTTCATCATAAAAGTAAAAATACACAAACGAGATAGCCAATGTTGTCATAGTAAAGAAAGTATCAAATAAGTGGCGCATTTGCATGGATTTCACCGACCTCAATGCAACTTACCCCAAGGACCTTTATCCATTACCAAATATTGATCGTCTGATTAAGGAATCCTTTATCTACCAGACGTTGAGCTTCATGGAAGCGTACTCGTGGTACAACCAAATTAAAATAGATTTTGTCGATCCATCCAAGATGGCGTTTATGTTAAGCTGTATCAACTACTATTATAATGTCATTCCCTTTGGCGTCAAGAATGCAGGCTCCATCTACAAGTGATTTATGGACGCCATATTCTCCCAAAAACTAGGGCAAAAGTTGGAAGTCTACGTCGACAACATGATAGTGAAGACCTTAGAAGGTTATAAGATCAGAATTGAAGGACATACTACAATTAGTTAGGAAGTACAACATGCACCTGAATCCAACCAAGTTCTCCTTTGGGTGCAGGCACGAAAGTTCCTTGACTCTATGCTAACAAAAATGGGTATTGAAGCAAACCCATATAAGTGTCAAGCTATAATCAACATGAAGAGTTTCACCAATGTCAAGGAAGTGCAAAATTTGATGAGTTTCCTTGTAGATTTATCTTGATTCCTTTCCTGTGTAGGTGACAATGCTTTTCTTTTCTTCCCCACCTTGAAGAAGAAGAGGGAGAAGTTTGAACAAAAAGGGGAATGTGAGGAGGCGTTCTCAAGAAAAAAACCTTCCTCGCATCAATGTTTATCCTCACTCTCCCAAAAGAGGGGTCTGTTGGAACGATTTTGGTTCTACATCTTCTAAGCTTGAGTTTTGATGATAACAAAATGTAAAGAAAAATTTTGTACTCTAATAGTTTGTTGGATATGCATAATCTAAACAAGCCAAAAGCTGAATCAAGCAGACTCTGAACAAGCTAGAAGATTAACAAAAAAGAATCTAAACAAGCCAAAAGCTGAATCAAGCAGACTCTGAACAAGCTAGAAGATTAACAAAAAAGAATCTAAACAAGCCATATCGTGAACAAAGAGAAAACCTTAAATAAGTCAAATCCTGAATAGAGCATACTATGAGCAAGCCAGACGATGATTAAAGCTAAGTAAAACATACTCTGGACTATGGACAAAGATATACTCTAGATAAGAGAGATTTTGGACTGTGGATATAGAGACTTTGGACATCATCAAGTCATGAACCAAAGTGATATTATGAAGAAGTTTTGAACTTAAAGTCAACTCTAAAATACCAGTTAACGCTTCTGAAGTAAACAACCCAGATGGGCTCTGATACATTCAAGCCTCATATTCACGAGACTATGAAGTTTATTCTCAAGGTGCTAAAATATGAACATGTTTCAAATCTCTCTTATACAAGGCCAATGTTTTAGAGAAAAAGAAAGAATGAACATTCCAAATAATACAATACAAGTTAAGCTGCAAAATCAAAAGGATTGTGCTACAAGTGACTATAAAAGATTTTCTCTCCACTACCCATGATTTAAAACCGAATCTCGTACCAAGTATTACAGTTATGAATTTGAAGAAGTTTCAAATTCTTTCCTCCAACGATCTTATTCTTCATCTATATAAATAGGACAAATGAATTGTGAAATAAAATCTTTTTGTGAAGAGTTTGAAGAAACTCTATGCTGAAAAAATTTCAATAAAGAAAATCAACTTCAAGAAAGAGAAAATAGAGAGAAACACTTAAACTTCATTTCAAATATTTTTAAGTGTACAGTTTTATAATCACTTTGTGTATCTGCTTATTTAAAAGCAACTTTGTAAACACAAATCTTGTATTTAACATTTGTTAAATTCCTTGCGAGACTAGGGTATAGTCAGAAGCCTCAAGAGGTCATTGATGGTTAGTCTTTGAGTTGTAATTCATTAAGGGACTAAGTTTAATAAGAATCTTTAAGAAGTAATTGACGGGTAGTCTTTGAGATTCTAATCAGTTTGATTATTGGATTAAGTCTTGTTGAGAAGGAAAAATCACTCTAGAAAGTGGATTGGATTAACGTCGTCAAGGGCGAACCAAGATAAAAGTATCTTGTCATTTTTTTCATTATTGTTATTGTATTTGGGACGAAAAACTGTCATATTTGTAACCTAATTCAATCCCCCTTTCTAGTGTTTCCAGAACCTTCAATTGGCATCAGAGCTCTGATTCTGTTATTAACTACTTTGTGTCAAACACTTAATCGTGTCAGATAAAGATCCATTTTTGAAACACAGATTAACACATGCAAACAATGATAAAGATAATTATTGTGTAAAACCTTCAATCTTTGATGGAGAAAAGTTCAAATATTGGAAAGATAGAATCGAAAGTTTCTTCGTAAATTGTGATGCAGATCTATGGGATGTGATTATGGATGGTTATACACATCCCATAAATGAAAATGGTACTAAGCTTGAAAAAAGTAAAATGAATGAGCAGCAAAAGAAGGATCACAAGAATCATCATTTATCCATAACTATAGTGTTGAATGTTATTTCCTATTCAGAGTATAAAAAGATAACAAATAGAGACTCTGCTAAGTGTATATTTGATTCTTTGAAAATGACTCATGAAGGAAGTAAGCAAGTTCAAGAAACAAAAGCCTTGGCTTTAATATAGAAATATGGATCCTTAAAAAAAGGAAAAGGATGAAATGATTAAGGAGATGTTCTGAAGATTTCAAACTCTTGCAGTTGGATTAAAAGTTTTGAATAAGGAC